AGTACTGCTTTAGCTGCACCTATAAATTTTGATACATGGGGTTATTTTCGGATTGCAAATGTATTGCCTGTATTTGGAGAGGACAGGCTGTACCCGTGATCCTAGTTCCAGGCACAAGGGAAGAAGTCGCCCAGTGATACTGTGAGTTCCTTGGGCCACTGTGGAGAGGGCGGGGTCACCTGCTAGATGATTCCGCCCACCCCACCCATTTCAGACTCGCCACCCTCCTCCTCCTCAGAAGCTGTGCTGCCATCTCTGCTCTGGCCACTGTCACTGCCGGCCTTGGGACTCCTCTTGTGTCGTTGCTCCAGGCCCCTGGTCACAGCGCCTCGTACCTGAGTCCATTCCTCTCTCTGGGCCTGTCTCCTCATTGGTCAAGGCAATGTCTTGGCCCTCCTGGCTGATGGCAGGCCCTCCCTGCCATTAGCCTGTCCTTCTTTGAATTGAGAGTCTGTCTTGCCTCCTCACCTAGGCTGTGGGTCACTCAGCCTGATTGATCATCACGAAAATCCTCCCTTCTCCTCACAGCCAGCCTTGCAGAGGCCCTACTCTCCATTTCACCGATGAGAAGCGGAGACTCAGATGTGCTGGGGGTCTGGTCCCGGCCCCCCGTCACAGGGGTCATCCCTGGGGGAGAAGGAAGTCCGACACAAACCTGCCACATCCCCCATGCACTGGGCGCGCTCTTGGTGACCAGTCGGCTTGTGGCGGATGTGGAAGCTGCACGTTCCTGCTGGGCACACTGGCCGGGGGCTGGTCCCAGGCCCCCCCCCCGTCAGAGGGGGCGCCTCCCCCAGAAAGGACCCTAGCGAAGGCGGGGAGCCAGCCGCCGGGCTGGAGGAGCTCAGCGTGGACGCACAGCTCCCGGGAGAAGAGCCTCCCCCACGGATGAGTTTGGGGGGGTGACGGGGGGGGGTCCCGTTTCTTCTCCCAACAGTCAAGTGTTATTTTTGTTTGAAGCAAGACCTATAGAGTGCTTGCTCTGCATGTGCACCGTGCCACGATCGTTGGACCTATGACTGGAGGGGTTGCCACGCCCCCTTTGTGGGTGAGGAAACCGAGTCTCAGAGACAGGACACACAGCCGGGTCGGCCGGGCCCCTCAGACGAAGCCATAGATCCCTGCAGCCTGCCCTGTGGAGCCCCGGAGAATGTGGGTAACGGAGGCACAGAGGTCTTGCCCCGTGGGTCCCATGTTGGAGGGAAAAAACCAAAGGGGACCTTTAGGGTGTCACTCTGGGCCAGAGGAGGCCAGCCACAGCCTCGCCGGGGAGACCAGCGTGGATGCCAGCCCAGGGAAAGACCCCGGGACACCCGTGGGGGCAGCTCCGGTCCCTTCAGGTAGCTGTCGTCGCGGGACCCAGGAAACCCAGTCCCCAGCACAGGGGCCACTTTAACGAGACGTGACACTCAGAGTCACATCCTTGGAGTGTCACTGATCCAGTCACGGCGGTGACACTGAGCAGGTATCGACGCCATGCCCTGCATCTCTGAGCTCACAGCTGCCTTCCAGAAGGGTCCGAGGCCCTCGCTGTCAGGGGGAGGAAACAGGGTCAAGGCGGCCAAGGTGCCAGCTCCCGGCACGTGAGGCGTGGCAGAACAGGGGTTCAACCACGGGCTGCGCGGAAGGCCCTGCTCTGTCTGCACCCCACTCCGTGGGCCCCCCCAACAGCAGGGCCGAGGGCTGCCCGACCCACGGGAGACCTGCCGTCTGTCCTGGCACCCGTGACCCCTTCGGGTCACAGGGGCCTGAAGTCCGGCTCAACGACCAGACCAGTGTGGCTGCAGATGCAGAGATAGTAGGAGGCGCTCAGGGCCGGTGGCCTGGGCGGAGCGGGGAGAGGTAGCGTTAATTCCTCTTGGGAGGGCCGAGGGGGGTTCATGGCCAGAGTGACAGGGCTGAGAAATCTTGTTAGCCCTTTGCTTGGCTCCTTCTTGGGTGAGGTGGCTCCCAGACAAAGCCGCTCCTGGGGCAGCAGCCTGATAAAGAGCTCAAGCATTCATGGGGGGCGCGAAGGGCAGGCGGCATGGGCCCCAGGAGGCTCTAATCCTCTGCAGCTCGCTGGAGGGGGGGGGGGCGGTCAGAGGGAGGGGCCCAGCCTCTGCTGGAAGCTTCTGGCCTTGGACAAGCCCCTCCTTTCTCCTGGGCCTCCCAGTTCCACTTACGGTGGTCTGGGAGCATCTTGCTCGCTAGTTCTCTGGAAGGCGGTCTGGGCGAGGCTCTCTCGGGGCTCAGGACAGTGTGGGCCCAGCCCCCGCGCCGCCCTGGGGTGGGGCTGGGGGTGGGGGCGTGCACCCACCCTCCTGCAGCGGCCAGCCCGGCCCTGCTCTGCCCTCGGGGCACCAGGCTCCCGACAGGGCCCTAGCACAGCTCCGGTGTAAGGCAAGCCGCCTGGCATCTCCAAGCCTGGCTCCCCCTGGCAAAGTGGGGCCAACGATGGCACCCCCTGGAGGGCGAGTCCCCCTGGGCTCAGACCGCGGGACTCCCACCTTTCAGCAGCCCCCTGGCTGGGCGAACAAAGCCCTTCCGAACCTGAGCCACCCTGTGGCTCCCCACTGAGTACCGGGTCCCCAGTCCGCCCACCCACGTCCCCTGGCCAGAACTGGCCCACCTTGAGGCCCTCGGAGCCCTGTGCCCCAACACCTGGCCAGAGGGCCCTCTAATGCCCTCTGGGTGTCTCTGACCCTCATTTCTTTTTTCTTGGTGTTGTGTCCTGCCCCCTCTCCGGGGGGCCACAGGGTGGCATGGTGGGACTTGGCCCATGGGGTGTCACACAGCGTGTCACCTGGAGGCGGAGGGAAGAGGGGTCTGGGCTGTGTTCTCCCTCTTTGTTGCACCCCCCATCCCCTGGTGGCATCTGCGTGGTGCTGGGGTCCCGGGCTCCATCCTGCAGCTCAGAACCTTTCGGACGAGCTCAACCATTGGCTGTGTTGGCAACAGACAGCTAGGAACAAAGGCCAAGTGGCTTCTGTGTCGGCTTTGAAAACCACTGAAATGATCTCACTTATCTGCCGTGGTCCAAATATTTTGGCCATTTAGATACAACCTTCCAGGCTTGTGAAATTAAGTGTATTGTTAATTCCGCCTGGCCCAGTGACAGGTGGGCGGATCGGACAAACCCCCTCCCGGCCGATCGAGGGGAGGGAGAGCATATTCTTATCTGTACAAAGTAGTCATGGATGTTTCCAGAACGACTCGGGTGGCTCACAGCCTGTCCCCGGAGGGAGGCTGGATGGTGGGCACGAGGAGTCCCCCGTGACAAGGAGGGGGGTGCAGAGAGGAGAGGAGAGGGCTCCAGGGAGACGACCACTGCTCCCAGAGCCCGTGAGGCTGTCACATGGGCGCCACGGGGGTGGGGGCCGGCTGGGGGTTCTGAGAGGGGAGAAGGGACCTGAGCTGGGGTTTCAGATGCATTGCAGACAGACTTTTGTTAACCCTACTTTTTTCTGATTATAAAGAAATAAAGGCTCATTACAGAAAACGAAGATAACTATGGAGGAAGATCTGGACGCCGCCCCCCCCCCCCCCGGCCCCCCAGGTCCGTGGCTAGAACTCACCACCGTGAATAAGCGGTGGTCGGGGGTGGGGGGTTCTCGCCAGACTCTTGGGCGAGCGTTCTTAACTGGAATCCTTCTGTATGTAACTTTAAGCCGCTGTGTTTTCACTTGGCAATGCGCTGTTTTTGCACAACTGTGTATTTAACTGGCCAATCGTTATTTAACCGGCTAACCCAGTGGCTGTCCAGTCAGCGCCGGCCGGCCTCCCCCAGCACCTTTGCCCCCAGGCTGTCCTCCGAGATTATTTCCCTAGGACCCTTCACAGCATGGGGGGCACCGGGCTCGGACCCATGGTTCCTGCTCTGCTCCAGGCACCCCTCCCTGCCCCGAGGGGCATCGTGATGACCAGGGCATCCCCGGGAGAGAGCTCTGGAACCCCACACCGATGGGGCGTGGGAGGCAGGCTTATTTAACGCAGGAAGTCGAGGGCGGGGGAGCTGAGTGACGGAGCGCCTCACTGAGTCTGAACCCCAGGAAGCGACACCAGTCAGACCAAGAGGGTGATGGCATGCCCTCCGGCGAATGTTTGTCTGATCGGTTTGCTGAGAGGGCCAGCAGCTGGGCTGTGGTGTGCCAGCCAGGTCCTTGGCACCGGTGGTCACGGGTGTTGTGTGGGGACAGCGGCTCCCCCAGGGGCTCTCCGCCACGCTCTCTGCCCACGGCGGATGCAGTGTGCCGTTGGCAAGGCAGGAGCTCGGCTCTCTGCTGCTGACCCTGTGCCCTCCAGCCAGCTCGGACAGGCTCCCGGGGCCCACTGGGAGGCCCTTCTATCCCCTCCTGCCTGCCCAGGAATTGTGTTCCTCAAGAGCCAGCCCGCCCAGCACGACGCAGCTGGTGGGGAAAAGCCCTTAACCAGCTCGGCTCGCAAGGGCCCGAGCCACCCGCCATCACCCCATCTGTGGACAGACGTCACTAGAAGGGACCTGGGATACCAGGGACCGACATATAAACACCAGCACAATCTGGAGATTTCTGCCACGGGGCCTCCATCGGGCAATGCTGGGGCCTGGCCTCGGGCAAGTTGCCTTTCCAGACAACTGCTGGGCTCTGGGCTGAGCGGTGCCCTGACCGAATGTGCGTGGGGAGCTGCACCCCAGCCGGGCCTGATGATCCTATTAGCCAGGCCGTTTATTCAGCGCCAGCTTGGGGCAGGCCTGGGCTGGCGGCTTTGCAGACATTATCTCATTTGATCCACACTTGAACCCCGCAGGGTCAGTCCCATCACTCCCCGCCTCCCCCCGTCAGTCGGGGTTCCCTCCTGATTCGGGCGTCTGTGACTCTGCGGTGACTGGACGGCCCCTCTGGAGTAGACAGGATAACGGGCAGGTTCGGGGGACCCCCCAGCTGGCCCCAACCAGGGCACGGCCCCTCCCCTGTCTTACACCTGCCCTTCCAGACCAGGATCACCGAGGAAATGGAACCAAGCAAAATGCTGTACTCCAACCTTTCTGCGGGTTTCCCTCTGTTCCACCTGCCGTATTCATTTCTCCAATCTCGTGTCCACCTCGAAGCTGGAGCGGGGAGGGAGGGGTAGGAGGGTGTCTTGTCCAAAGGCACACTGGTGCGCGTGTGTTTCCTAGGTCACTTGTCCGTGGAAATAGTTTATGACCCTGAAGACAATCTTTTTAAGGAGGGAAAAAAAGTCAAATGTCATTAAGCCCGTCTGACGCACACTGAGCCCGGGGAAGCCGTCCGGGCCGGACATGGGACCAGTCACCTCCTGGTCTCCAGTCCCCCCCCTACCACTTCTGAATTTCCACTGCCCCTAGGCAGGTGGAGGCCCTGATGCTCACATCCCAGGGAAGAGGGTGAGGACCGGGGCCAGGGCCACAAATGCCCACTGCACGCAGGGCTCTGGCAGGGTCTGTGGGTGAAGCAGAGGGAGCCCGAAGTGCGAGTGTCTCCTGCTTGAGGGAGACCCCGGGGGGTTCAACACGCGGACAGCAGGAGCTCCTGTCTGGTCCAGGCATTTGTCGGCAGAGCTGGGAGCCCCACACGTGACCAGCGCTGCCTACACAGCAGGAGGCTGGGAGCATCAGTTGGGGGTCCCTAGCAAGAACCAGGTCTCCCTAAAAGGGGTAAAATGAAGGTCTGTGCCTGCAGGCTGGGAAACACGTGCTGCTCTGTGTCCTTTGGCTCATCAGCGACGCTCTGGCCTGGTTCTTACCTTTCCCACCCGTCCGTCTGTCCTCTCCCAGGGCGCAGACCCCAGGCACTGTGTGCAGTGGGGCCCCGGCCCCTCCTCCCGGGTGACCTCATTTCCAGGACTGCCCCGCCCCTCCTGCCGGTGTCTCAGCCCAGAGGCTGCTCCTTTAGGGAGCTGGGACCCTCATTAGTGGGACAAACAAAGGCCCATTGTCACCAGGAGCCGGTAATTCATCAGCCTAGGGTCCGGGCTCCCTGATAGGGCTGGGGGCCAGGCAGGGTGGGGTGAGGTAGGGTGGTGGTGGAGGGGGTTAACCCTCCCCGAGGTTTTCTCAGTGACAATGCCCGTGGGCACTTCCCAAAGCAAACCCTAAAAGGCTTCCTGTGAGGTATTCAAGGGGCCTGGACATCCCCATGCTGAAGGGTCTCTGTACTGAGAGGTAAACCGAAGTCCTGGGAGAGAAATACTTCTCTAAGTCTAGGAGGACCTAGATGGACAATAAACGAGGATCCTGAGGCCCACCCCCAGGGCTTGGAGGGGAGCCATTGCGTGGCCACGGCAGGGCCCAGGCCCCTTTAAAATGGTGTCCTCCCCATCCCCCCTTGGTGACCATGGGGGGACTTTCCGTGGGAGGAACGGAAAGCTGCCGATCCTGGGTCCCTGGCCTTGGGAATATCGAGGAAACAGGCCACACAGAGGCACACGGGGTGCAGGTTGCCGTGGGGCACAGAGAAGCCCCAGCCAGGCTTGGGGGTTGTGCGTGCTGGGGGAGGGTGGTCTGCAAACTGCCGAGAGGGGCCCGTCGGAGCTGGGCCTTGGAGTGTGCTGTGGGGTGGCCAGCTGGGGACTGTGGTCCAGAGCAGCAGTCCTGCCCTGCTGCCGGCCTGGGGGGTGGGGTGTGGCTCGTGGGAAGGGCTGAAGTTCTCTTAGGAGTTTGGACTTTACCCCGAAGGCAGTGGGGAGCTGGGAAGAGTTTTTAAGCAGGGGAGTGACTGACTCACAGGGTGGCGGGGAGGGGGCTGATGCTCTCTTCTGCTGGGTGGAGGCTGGGGACAGGCTGACCTGTGGGGGTCTCCGGCCAGAGAGGGTGGGGCCTGGGCCTTCGGTGGCCTCCCCTGTGGGGACCCTGCGCTGCAGCCTGGAGCTGGGGCTGGCCCTCCCGTGACACCACTGCCACCGGCCGAGCCCCCGGGTGCTGGCAGTCTGGGGGGCGGGGGAGCGTCGTCTCAAGTGCAGGTTCTTTCGATGCGAGCCCCAAGGAGCATTGGGGCCAACTCCTCGGTTACTTTCCCCATCCTTCAGTGCAAAACGACTCCTTTTTATGGCCGCTATCAATAACCACTCCCAGCTCCCCGTTGCCCCAGTGGCCACATATATAATATTTAAACCACGTTGGTGGATGACAGAGACGTACGGATATTTTTAATCCCAACAGGCTATTACGGTTCATATCATGTCTGTCAAATAAATATTATGAATCATTTCCCGTTATCTTTATGGGGGCAAGTTGACTCCATCAGTGAGATTGGGCTCGGTGGCTTTTCCCTGCATACTTACCCACCTCTTATGTATATGCATGTGTATAGAGGGAGATTCATGAGGCAATTGACGATAATAAATGCCCCCGATAAAACACATCGCCTTCTTGCCGGACGGGCGGCGTCTGGAGAGGGCACGGAGGGGAGGGGCCGGGAGGGGCCGGGAGGGGCCCACCCTCTCCAGTCAGGCGAGCTTGGGGCTGACGCCAGGGCTGGGACGCTGTGGCCGATCCCTGCGGCTCCTGGGACGGATCCCGCCGTGCACAGGTTCTCCCCGTGTGCCGGGAAGGTTCTGTGGCTGGTGGCTCCTCTCTTCCCGTTTTATGGGAGGCCGTGGACCCGAGAGAGCCACGTGAGGGCTTCCGGTACCCACCCCAGCACCCAGCCTTCCAGTGTTGCTGCCTGGCCCTCCTCTCTGGACTCTGCCTGCCCCGTGCTGCCCAGCTGACCCCCCCCCCCCCACACTGTGAGGAGCCGGGCGCTGGAACAGTTAGCTCCAGGCAGGGGTCAGGAGCCGGTGGTTGTCCCGAGGCTTCCCCGGTAAGCAGCTGATGCCCCTGGTGCTGAAGCCCCCGCAAGGCCTGGAGCCAGGCTCCCTTCAGCCTCGGTGTCTCCATCTGTGAAATGGGGAAATGCAGGGCCGGGTGTCTGGGGGAGACAGTGCCCGGCAGGGTGCAGAGGCCTGGCACCGAGAGGCACCTAGGAAACATGGGTGTCCTCTCCTGACTCAGACCTCACGGAATCACAGGCCCTCTCCAGCCTGCGGCTGCCCCCCCACCCCCGCCCCTCCCAGGCAGCTGGGACCGCTTCTAGGCAGCCTCGGAATCCAGATGGAGCGTCTCTTTGGAGGGCCCTGGAAGGAACCCACCAGTCCTCCCAAATCCTGGCCCTTCTCCCCAAACCAGCCCCTCCCCCCTCAGGCCTGGCTCACTTGAATGGCTTTGCCCAAACCGCCCTTGGCTCCCTGGAGGTTTGGAACTGGGCTTCCGCCCCCCCCCCCCCCCCCCCCCCCCCCGTGAGGGAGCAACCCTCAGGGCACCTGATTCACACAGCACCCAACCTCTCTTTCTGGGGTTCGGTCTGCCGGGCCTGGGTGTGCGAGGCCAGCTGTCCTTTGGGGCCAGGAGCTGTGGACAGGTGCGGTGTGGGGACTGCAGGGCTGCTGGCTTTCCACAGACGGCCAAACCCGGCCACAGAAGGCACCCTCCCGTCCCCTCTCTGTCCTCTCCTTTCCCCCCTCCTCTCCCCCTTCCGCTCCCCTCCCCTCCCCTGATCTCTGTCCTCTGCCTTTCCCCCTCCTCCCTCCCCTCCCCAGGTCCCCTCCTCTCTCCTCCCATCGCCTCCCCTCCCCCCTCCCATCGCTAAGCCCAGCACTGGAGGCCGAGGACACAGGCAACTTTCCGTGTCCTCCAGACTGAGGGGGAGACAGGCGGAGACTGAGGGGAGCTCCGTCAGGCCCCCCTGTGTGATCTGGGGCGAGCCCTTGCCTCTCTGGGCTTCACCACCTCTCAGCTTGAGTCATCTCTCAGCACAGACAGAGAGCATCACCCCCAGAAGAGCCGCGGAGTCAGTGAGAGAGGGCACTCTGGGCTGGGTGTTTGGGGACAGAGGCAGGCCACCCACCCATGAGGACGAGCCTAAGCCCCTGTGAGGTCCTGCTGGTCACCAGCTCAGGATCACGTGGACCCTGTTTACGGGAAGGAGCCAGAAGTGGCCGAGGTGCCCCTTGGTGTCCCCTGAACTGCTGGGAGCTGTCCACCCAGACACCAGCCTCAGGGGCCCCTGCCCGGCAGACGTGGGCCTTTAAAAAATATTATTCACCAAGTGATTCCGGAGACTGTTTACCAGACTCTGCCGAGACAGGCACATGAAATAGACCAAAATACCTTAAAAAGCATCCTTCAGGGATGGTTTAAAAGAAAAAAAAAAAAAAAAAACCCCAAACAAAAAACAAAACCCTCTTAGATCTCAGGTTGTAAATAGATGGGATATTACTATAAAAACATTTTTTGGCTGCAGACTACATGGCAGGAAGGCTGGGGGCGTTTTTTTCCATGGTTAGTTTGGACCCGGCTACACCAAATGGGGCAGCCGCCGTCCCGGGCGGTGTCCTGTGGGAGCATTTCCACAAAGAGCCCCGGTTTCAGGAGAGCGGAACCTAGAAATAGAAAGGGCACAGGCATTTTCCACCAAGGAGCCGGATTGGCCGCGGCCCCGTGGCCGCTGACGGTGGCTCCAGGGCACCCCGCGCCCTGTACCCCTTCACCAGAAGGCAAGGCTGAGGGCACCTGTGGTCGGTCGGCATCTGTGGGCCCTGAGGCGGGAGTACAAGCGGGTCTGAGGCCCGGGACCCCGCACTCGCTCCCCTGTCCACATGCTCGCAGGCTGGGGCTGGGCGACCCCTCCTTGGATCTGTCTTAGGAACAGAGGGCCCCTCACCCCCTGGCCTCCTGGCCTCCGTGCCTTCCCTGGGGCGGGGAGCCCACATGGAAATTCGCCTGCGTGTGGCTCCCTGGCTCCAGGCCCCAGTGGTTCCAGCGTCGAGTTTTCCGTGGCAGGGGTGGGGCTGGGGAGGGGCGGGGAGCCAGGCTGCCCACCGTCAGAGGTGACTTCAGATGCCTGAGCCCAGCCTCCCAGGCCTCCAGGACCGGCTTTCCCACAGCGCCCAGCGAGTTGCGACCTGCCGGCCGAGCGGGCTGCCTGCCGTTCCTTCCAGGAGCTCAGTACCTCCCCTCCCGGCCAGGCCAGCGCTCACACGGGTCCGGTCCGGCCGCCTGGAGTGTCCTCACCCCTGCGTCTACCCGGTGAAAACTTCCCTCCTTCAAAACCCAACTGGAGGACCAGCCGGACCCGGAAGCGCCCGGGGCCCCCGGCTGCACGTGGCCTGGCCCTCCAGTCACTGTCCACGCCTCTTCCTGCGTGCCCATTACTCTGCACCTAAAAGAGAGTTCCCTGGGGACACGTCCTGGCTCTCCTCGGGGCTGGGGCTCCCAGAGGGCCTAATTCATCACCTAACGATAGTGGTGGCAGGACAAGTGGCAACCGAGCTCACTTGGTGCCATCTCACGTCGTCATCGCGGTGACTCAGGCAGGAGGGCATGTTGTCCCTGCTTTGCAAATGAGGAAGCTGAGGCATCGGGAGGGGGGTGACCTGGCCTGGCTGCACAGCTGGAAAGGGGCAGCGCTGGGATCTGGCCCATGCCTGTCCATCTGGGACCACACCGCCGCCTGAGCAAGGGCTCAACGGACGTTTGTTGAATGAATGAATGATCCACGACATTGGACAGCAGGGATTACTTCTCTCTCTCTCTCCTGCTCCTCCCCACTCACTCTCACCCTCACCCTCTCTGTCCTGAGGCCCGGAGCCTTTGGACTGTGGACGGGCTGTCCATACAGGAGGTGTTAGGGAGGCAGCGTCACTGATGGTCACCCAGGCCCCCACGGGGCCTGTGAAGGCTTGTACCCTTGCTGGCACAGAGTCCAAGGACGGGCCCTGGGTTCAATCCTGACTTTGTCCTCACTGCTGTGTGACATGTTCCCGTACGTCCCCTCTCTCAGCCTCGTGTTCTCGTCAGTC